TCCAAGTAGAGATCTAATACACGTATACATCCTAGTCAATCCAACAGTAACTAGTAGTCCGTATATATATATATACACACTAAAGGAACCTCACTAGACTATAGGGTTGTCTCAACCTGAATAGTAGGTAACATGCAAAACGCACATATAGTGGGCATGAGTACCTAGACCTACCAGGGTACACAACCACACTATATCTAGCTACACATCCATGGTGATATACACGCTCTAACCATTGATCCTGAGACTCAAGCTCATATCATGGCACCATACTTATATATATATAATCTAGTAACCATCCTATCCAGTATAAATTAATCTTCCATAAGTCATTCAACTTGTTCAGCTGACCTGACTTTAATATAAGTAGAACTTAACATTTTAGTTAATTAATTCCCTTATATAATAAATTAATCCTCCATAAGTCATTCAACTTGTTCAGCTGACCTGACTTAAATATAAGTAGGACTTAACATTTTAGTTAATCCATTCCCTTATATAAAATAGGTAGGACTTAACTGATAAGTTAATCCATCCCTAGAATGCCACCGTCCCATATCGGTGCATTAAACCACACAATCCAACAATTGCTGTAACAATTAAGGAAATACATCAAACATTCCATAAATAACTATGATAAATATGATATCAAGTTATCACATAATAGGAATGACTTATTATTTCTTTAAACTTCCTATTTCATATGTCCTACGCAAACTGAATCTTATACATGATGATATTTTATTATACTGTTAAATAAGGATTCTCTATATCCAATTCATCATACACATTTAATCTTAATTGCTAAAATATTTTAAAAGATTAAATCCATTCGTTTGTTTAAAACATTCAAATAGCAAACATCATTATGATTGAGTCTATTTAAATTTATTAAAACCCAAACCTAGTCCCTATTTAATGTTCAGGAATCCTAGGCATGTTTTTACGTTCCATCATTCCACAGATATGAAAAATACATAATTTAAACATGTAAAAATTCACATAAGAAATCAAATCAAAATCATGCATTTTATCAATTCATAACACAAGAACAAATATGAACCAATTTCATAAAACCTATGTTCTAACCCAATTAAACATGCATAATTATTTAATTTTATGTGTTTAATAAATCCTGAAATTTCCTAGGCATGTACAGAAACACGAATCAAAGGGAAAGAGATAGAAGAAGAACTTGACTTAAACTTTCGAATCGAAAGTTAAACTTCTTCTTCCTTGATCTTCTCTCTACAGGATTTTTCTCCTCATTCCTTCATTTTCCTCCTTCCCTCTCTAACACTATCTCTCTCGTATATATCACGTGAATATTTCTAACATCCTTTTACAACCTATAGTTATATATTTATAGGCTAAATAAAATAACCCTAACCCTTTTCCCAATCCAAGTCAACTAAAAAAAAAATGAAAATAAAAATATTAAAAAGGTAAGCAAAATATGTTACGTATATAATTTATGTATATGTTTATTAAATAAATAAATTATACACATTCCATTATTTATTAATGAATTATCCAATAATATTTAGGTTAACATAATATTATAAAGTAACTTAAAACATAACACGTATCAAATCTATGTATATTTTTATTATTTAAATAAACATATAAATCAGATTAAATATTACTACCCAAATTACTATAAAAGTAATTAATAAATTACTTTCTCTTATATATATATATATATATATATATATATATATATATATATATATATATATATATATATATTAAAAAGGTAAGTAAAATATATTACATATATAATTTATGTATATGTTTATTAAATAAATAAATTATACACATTCCATTATTTATTAATGGATTATCCAATAATACTTAAGTTATCATAATATTATAAAGTAACTTAAAACATAACACGTATCAAATCTATATATATTTTTATTATTTAAATATAAAACATATACATCAGATTAAATATTACTACCCAAGTTACTATAGAAATAATTAATAAATTACTTTCCTTTTTATATATGTATATAATATATATACATATATTATCCATGGGTAATAATCCATACATATCCAACCTCCTATCCAAGTAGTCCATGGGATTCAATTGGTTGGCCCATTACTACTAACCATAACCATAAAAGAAAAATAAAATAAAATAATAAAAGAAAAGAAAACATTTAATTTACAATGAATCAAAACACCATTTAAGCACATAATCTAATTAAACAATTAACACATAGACAAATACAAATAATACATAGACACATAATCAAATAATCAAGTAATACCTAATTCAATTAAACACATAAGCAATTAGTCAAATAATTAATTAAATAATTAAAAAATACAATTAAAACAAATAAATAAATATCGAGACTATCCTTTTAAAATTAGGGGTATTACATGAATGTTCTCATTTATTGTAAATCCCTTAGCAAGATACCTTCTCCTTGAATTTCCATCTTCTTAGTAATTGTTTTGCCTTTAGAAATCACTCATAAGCCTCCATTAATGACCTTGGAAAATTAGGCTTGTGGGGGCCTCCATTAGATGAGAACACTAATCCTAATTTTCTAGAGAGAGAAAATATTTTCCTTTTTCCTTCTTCCAAAAATCACCCCTAGAATATACATAGATCATGTATATATATAGGCAAAATAAAGATAAAGAAAAGGGAACAATCAATCATTCTCAATCTCTAATTCACATGTCTCAAATCTAATAGGATTCCAATATCAAGTTGGGCTATGAGTGAGAATTATTTGGGCTTATTATTTTATTGGTTACAATGAATTAATAATTGGTTCGGTCCATGGACCTAATTCAATTAATTAATTAATTAATTTCTACTCCACTAAAAGAAATTAATTGAACTCCAATTAAAAAATAAATAACCTCTAAGTCAATATTGTACTTTGACCCCTCTATGCATAATTAGTTATTGAATAAATAAAGTCATCAATCCGACTACTTAATTAATATATTTATTTTGGTACCTTTGATTATTTCTGCCTCGATCACAATAAAACATTTGTTTGACAAAAATAATAATTTAAATAAATAAATATATAATAAATTATTTTGTCTAAAAACACACGAAGGCCTTCGAATTTACTTTGTGATCAACCATAATCAGTACAAAATAAATACAAGTAGCAACGATACAAATATTGAAAATATAACCCTTTAACTATTAATTACATAACTACTCAAAGTGTCGGTCTAAGAATTCCGAAGTATCCGCCGAACAAATCAAAGTAATTATTAATTAATAAAAGAGTTTATACTTTTCTCATACTTAAGAGTCAAATGTCATGACGGTGATAGGGAACAATTGCATATGACGGCTCCACAATATATCTCAAACTAACGTGAATCCAGTTCAAGTCTTAATTAACTATGAGTCCATCCATAATTACCGACTATGAACAATTTATGATTATTATTTATATTCATGTATTGATCGTCATCACATACATATATAAATATCTCTTGTAATTAAGTGAACACTATTAATTCTATAATGAATCGAAATATAATACATTTAATTCACCAATTGTATAAAGCATAAATATTTTAGAAACGTCAATAACATATGTCACTATAATTAAAATAAGAATTTGTTATGCCAGGGCATATAAATTCCAATAGATTAAGCTTCAGCAAGTCCTTGCGGATTAAGAACAGAAGATCCTCGGTTAGAAGCTTTCCCTTTTTTGATGAAATATCTTGATCTTTATGCACCAAAATATGTGACATACTCCACAACAATATACTCCAAAAGTGCCACGGTTTCTGGAAGCGGATTGGGATCATCTCCAAAACCATACATCATGTGTTGCAAATATTTCTAAAAAACTCCTCACTTACGCTTTAATGAAGCTTCCGATGGTTGGGATGATCCACTCTCGATCGCTTCTGAGGAGGGCTCTTCAGCTTCATCTTCTATACACAACTAAATGAAAATGAATATAAAAATAAAGAGAGGACAAATCAAGACTTGTAACTCTTAAAATAAATAATTCTTGAATATAAAAATAATGGGCAACTTCAATGAGGAGAAATGAACACTCAAGAGTTGTAACTCCTAAAATAAATAAATAATAGTGAATATAAAAATAATGGAGAACATGGGTTCTTTGTTAAATAGTGGGCTTTTTTAATAAATAATAATAATAATAATAAGGTAATTTATAATGAGATGTTAATGAGGTTTGAGTAAGTTTTAATGAGATTGTATTTTTAAAAAATAAAAATTGTTAAGAAATTAGGAGAAGTTACATATTTTTAATAGTGTATATGCAATGGGTTTTTGTTATAAAATTTATTTTTATAACATTTAAAGAAAATATTTTTATTCGACTATTAGGCATAAAATTTTTTCTAAAATGTAAAAAATAAAGTATATGTACAATGTAGATATATATACAAATATATTATATAGTATACCTATAGATTTTTTTAGTTTTTATTTTCTAAAGTAGGCATTTCAAGAGATGTAACTCATGCAATTAAAAATATATACATTTATATATCCTTATCTATTCTATTAATAAAGTATGAATTATGATGCCTTAATGAGTTTTATTATGTGAAAAAAAAAAAAAAAAAAATCAAAAATGTTAAGAAATTTCTTACACTTTTAAAATAGTATAGAAATGGACTAGTAATTAATTAAATTATTTTTTTTTTTTTTTGGAAATTAATGAACTAGCAATTATTGGTGCTGAAAGCCTGGGACCCACCCCAAAACTCAAGCCCATGTAGCCCTGTAAGAGCACATCATTTGTTAATTTCACGTAGCAAACCCCAAACTATCAGAGCCCATCGCTAGTTAATTTCATAATGTTTTGTTTATTTTTAATGCAAGAGCAAATTTTCGGAAATGCAATATCGGAATATTTCCTATTCTCCATTTAACACATTTAATTTCTCCATTTTTTCCTAATTCAAGATATTCATGAAACTTTCTAAAATTTCATACACCATCGGATTCATTAAAATAAAAACCTGGAATTTATTTTAACATTGATTTCTTTCATTTATGCAACTTTCATTTGCCAGACAATCTTCTTTTATGAGAGAGAGAGACAGTTATAAGAAGGAAAACTTTTTATTAGGCAAGACTATACTTTATTTACCGAAAAGAAAGAAAGGAAAGAAAAAAAAAATGAACATAATCCTTATACTGAGGACCACTTTATTTATGTTAACAAAAAAAAATCAATTTGTATACTAATTATATGATATTTTGCCAAAGTATATATATAAACACCTCACTTTTTCTTCTTCCCCCATGATGACAAAGCTGGAATGCTCTGTTCATTTCTGAAGAAATTAGCAGGATCAACCATGGTCTTCACATGTACCAATCTATTGAAGTTACCCTTGAAATACTTGATACCCCAAATGCTTGCTTGTGTATAGCTTGTGTTGCCTTTATTATTCACTCCTATGTCAAGGTCTCTGTAGTTGATATATGCACTTCTTGGATTCTTGGAAACATAAGGAGTCAGGTACCTATAAAGCCTTCTGCTCCAACTCACATGCCTCTCAGAAGCCTCTGTCCCCTCTTCAACCCAACTCACCCATTCCATAATTTTGTATAAATTCCCAGCTCTATGTGGGAAAGGAATTGCAGATTCAGCAATTTCATCCATTTTTCCACCATATGGGACCATGAACAGCTGAGCCAACGCGGCTTCTTCTTCATAAAACCTTTCCCAAATCCCTTCGAGCCCTTTTTCCGAAATTGGCTCCTTCACATAGTCTGATTTTCCTTTGAAGTATCCTTTGTACGGATTAGTCCTGTTTAACAGAACATCAAGGGACTCTCCACTTGTGAAACCAGCAAAATATAGGGTTGATTCGACCCAGCTCATTTCGATACAGTCTTGTTTCACCAATCCCAGCTCAGGGAAGCTCTCTTGCATCAATTGAATGAGTTCATCAGCTCCACCAAGGTACAATGAGTCGAATGAAGCTTGTATTGTTGTTCTGTTTTGGCCTTGATAGGTTGTGTTCACTCTTGTTATGTGGACTCTGACCACTAGGTTTTCATCAAACTTGTGTGCAATGGATTGCCACCTATGGACAAGCTTGGTTGCATTTTGTTCCAATGTCCTGGGGACTGCGGAAACAGTCACAGTTGATGGAACAGGAACCAAATTTATTTTCCATGCAAGAATGACACCAAAACTAGCACCCCCGCCTCCTCTGATGGCCCAGAAGAGGTCCTCCCCCATCGATTCTCTGTCGAGAATTCTGCCATTGACATCGATTATACGAGCATCAATGACTTGGTCTGCAGCCAAGCCATGTTTACGCAACATCATGCCGTACCCTCCACCACTGAATTGTCCACCGACACCCACAGTATGGCCAAAACCTGCAGGGAAGGCAAGTGTTCTGCTTTTCTCAGCAATTCTATAGTAAAGTTCGCCAACGGTTGCACCAGTTTCAACCCATGCAGTGTTGTTCTCAGTGTCCACAGTGATTGAATTGAGGTTTATCAGATCAATTATGACAAATGGGATTAGAGAAACATAGGAAAGGCCCTCGTAATCGTGTCCACCACTTCGGACTCTTATCTGCATGCCATGATTTTTGGAACAATATATGGTTGTTTGAATGTGAGACTCATGGGTTGGTGTGACAATGACTAGAGGTTTAGGGGTTTCAGATGAATTGAATCGCAGGTTTTGTATAGAGAACTGCAAAATGGATGAATATGAAGAGTTGTTTGCAGTGTAGATGACTTTGGAGATGGATGAGGAGTTTTGAGAATGAAGAGAAAGACATTGAAGAAAATCTTCATGGGAATCAGCTGAAACTACCCATGAAATTGAGAATAGAGAAACAATAAGAAGTGAGAGCAATGAAAAACTTGTAGTCTTCATTTCTCTTTTGATGATTTTGTGTAAGAGATGAGTTGCTATTTATAGTAGTTTAAGGAAACCTCGTTTGAGACTAATAAAAGAATGTGATCATCGGGGTTCAATTTCTATGCCACCTACCAAGCTTAGGGCGACAATTCAAGCCTCTAGATTCTTGTACTTGCACAAGAAATGGAATTGTCAAAGATGAGCCTCCAAATTGTTCACGTTGAAATATCATGGTGAGAAAAATAATAATAATAATAATATGTGTCAGCACCGGAGGATGCAATTGAATTAATAAATATGCCAATGGTCATGGCTGTTGACATTTCTTTACCATATATATATGGAAATTTTCTCATGCTTCACCAATCCTTTTAACAAAATAAAGAAAATTGATCTACTTCTGAAATCCATGAGAAAAAATATAATCTTTCATCAAGAAATTAAAATTATCCCGTTTTATTCAACTTCTCAAGAATAATTCATTAATTTCCCAGATATTATTAAAAATTTATAAACATATACTTTTAAATTAAAGTTTCCTTGTAAGAGTATGCAGTTTTATTTTTTTTAACACTTTTTCCTTCTGATAGTTTGAAGAACGTACATCATATCCAAACACTAGAAAAGTTGTGGATTTTGAGTACATGCCCAGAACATGCATGGAATTAAGCTGGTCTTTGAATCACCTGCATGTGGTCTTATGGTAATAAATGTCAAATCCATGGAATTGTCAACGATTTTGTGTACAATACAAGCAAAGATGAGCCTCCAAATTGTTCATTTTGAAATCTCAGCACGAGAGGATGTAGTTCAAAATGTGCAGGAAAGGCCTTTCCACACAATAGAGGATCCAATTAAGTTCGGACTATTTTCTAGATTTCATTTATTCTTGGTCAAGAAATTGCTGCCAACCTTATATTGAAATTTAAACATATGACGGCTTCACAAGGTGTAACGATCCGAATTCGAGGGTCCGATTCGCTAATTGAGTCCTTATCTAAACCTGAGGTTAACTAAGGACACTATCGTCTATTCCTATGTCGATACATAATACGATTAATAATTATAATAATAATAATAATGATAAAGATGGGATCATAGCCATAAAATATGTCAAAAACTGTCCACTAACCCGTCAAAACCTGTGGAGGAGCGTCATCCGCCACTTCCCTTTCGTATCCTGAAAAATGTTAATAATAGAATGGGGTGGGCCAACCGCTCGGTAGGAAGTGTTTAAGACACACCTCTTACGATGTAATATCCCTAATTTTAAAAGGATAGTCTCGGTATTTATTTATTTGTTTTAATTATATTTTTAATTATTTAATTGATTATTTGACTAATTGCTTATGTGTTTAATTGAATTAGGTATTACTTAATTATTTGATTATGTGTCTATGTATTATTTGTATTTGTCTATGTGTTAATTATTTAATTAGGTTATGTGCTTAAATGGTATTTTGATTAATTGTAAATTAAATGTTTTCTTTTCTTTTATTATTTTATTTTATTTTTCTTTTATGGTTATGGTTAGTAGTAATGGGCCAACCAATTGGGTCCCATTGACTACTTGGATAGGAGGTTGGATGTGTATGGATTATTATCCATGGATAGTTATGTATGTATATATATAGATATATATTATATACATATATAAAAAGAAAAGTAATTTATTAAGTACTTTTATGGTAACTTGGGTAGTAATATTTAATCTGATGTATATGTTTTATATTTAAATAATAAAAATATACATAGATTTGAGACATGTTATGTTTTAACTTACTTTATAATATTATGGTAACTTAAGTATTATTGGATAATCCATTAATAAATAATGGAATGTATATAATTTATTTATTTAATAAACATATACATAAATTATATACGTAACATATTTTACTTACCTTTTTAATATATATATATAAAAGGGAAAGTAATTTATTAATTACTTATATGGTAACTTGGGTAGTAATATTTAATTTGATGTATATGTTTTATATTTAAATAATAAAAATATACATAGATTTGGTGCATGTTATGTTTTAAGTTACTTTATAATATTATGGTAACTTAAGTATTATTGGATAATCTATTAATAAATAATGGAATGTGTATAATTTATTTATTTAATAAACATATACATAAATTATATACGTAACATATTGTACTTACCTTTTTAATATTTTAATATATATATTTTTAAAGTTGACCTGGATTGGAAAAAGGGTTAGGGTTATTTTATTTAGCCTGTAAATATATAGTTATAGGTTGTAAAAGGGGGTTAGAAATATTCACGTGATATATTCTAGAGAGAGAGAGTTAGAGAGGGAAGGAGGAAAAAAAAACCCTATAGAAAGAAGATAAAGGAAGAAAAAGTTTAACTTTCAATCCGAAAGTTTAAGGCAAATTCTTCTTCTATCTTTTTCCCTTTGATTCGTAATTCTATACATGCCTAGGAAATTTCAGGATTTATTAAACACATAAAATTAAATAATTATGCATGTTTAATTAAATTAGAACATAGGTTTTATGAATTTGGTTCATCTCTGTTCTTGTGTTATGAATTGATAAATGCATGATTTTGATTTAATTTCCGGTGTGAATTTTTACATGTTTAAATTATGTATATTTCATATCTGTGGAATGATGGAACGTAGAAACATAGAAACATGCCTAGGATTCCTAAACATTAAATAGGAACTAAGTTTGGGTTTAAATAAATTTAAATAGACTCAATCATAATGATGCTTGCTATTTGAATGCTTTAAACAAATGAATGAATTTAATCTTTTAATATGTTTTAACAATTGAGATTAAATGTGTAGGATGAATTGGATATGGAGAATGCTTATTTGACGGTATAATAAAATATCATCATATGTATAAGATTCAGTTTATGTAGGACATGTGATATAGGAAACTTAAATAAATAATAAGTCATTCCTATTTTGTAATAACTTGATATCATATTATCATAGTTATTTCTGGATTATTTGATGTATTTCCTTAATCGTTACATCAATTGTTGAATTGTGTGATTTAATACACCGGTATGGGACGGTAGCATTCTAGGGACGGATTAACGTATCAGTTAAGTCCTACCTATTTTATATAAGGGAATGGATTAACTAAAATGTTAAGTCCTACTTATATTCAAGTCAGGTCAACTGAACAAGTTGAATGACTTATGGAGGATTAATTTATACTAGATCGGATGGTTATTAGATTATATATATATAAGTATGATGTCATGATATGAGTTTGAGTCTCAGGATCAGTGGTTAGGGTGCGTGTATCGCCAGGGATGTGTAGCTAGATATAATGTAGTTGTGTACCCTGGTAGGTCTAGGTATTCATGCCCACTATATGTGCGTTTTGCATGTTGCCTACTATTCAGGTTGAGACAACCCTATAGTCTAGTGAGGTTCCTTTAGTGTGTATATATATATATATACGGACTACTAGTTACTGTTGGATTGACTAGGATGTATACGTATATCGGATCTTTGCTTGGACTGTAGTAGAGTAGAACTTGTTTGTGGGCCTGACCCACCATTATTTTTCAGGTGTTCGTCAGGAGTAGAGGTTGTTCGTGCTGAGCAGGGATCAGTCTACTTCATTCTTCCGATGCTACATAGGAGTTCCTTTATAATTCAGTTTCCTGATTTAGACAGTTATTACTGTCATTTGTTTAGTTTGGATTTTCTAAGGGTCCACACAGTATGGATTCCCGAGTTGTATTTTGGAGGATCAGTTGTATCAGAAGAGTTTATTAATTAATGGAAATATATTCTGAGATTTATTATTAGATTATCATTTTAGTTTCTTGTCAGCATTTTATTTATTCTTCTTTATTCTTTTGTACTTTATGTTCGTTTATTATCAATTTGTTTTGATATCCTCGAGTATTCGGGCGTGGGCCTGGCCAACCCACATTCGGGAATCTAGGGGTATCACATACGACCCCGTGAATCCATACAAGGAATAGAATACAAGTAAATGGGATCATGCCTCAGGGAAAGCAAGTAAAGCAACGGTTATATCAACAAATACATACGCAAGTCGTCTAACCACCAACTATACAATGTATGCCAACGTAATGCCATGCCATGCACTGGCGCTCCCCATTTCCGAAACAATATCGTTTCAACTTCCAAACCGTTAGTGCAATCAGACCCGAGGCACCTCCAAGGCGTCACGAATGGAGGGTTGACTAACTATCCACGACCACACGGCATCTCCAAGGCGTTGCATCCGGCCTAGTTGGCTCAATCATATTCCCTTCTAGACTACACTAACAACACGGACCACTAGGCGCCTCCTAGGCGTTCGGTTTTCGCAAACACCTTTAAAAATAGTTTCCCAAAAATAATTTCATTTATTTTTAAAATAAACTTTTCCTTTTACTTTCCTAATGGTAATGCATGAATTATGCAATTCCTTCAATGCTATAACAATATAAAAATTTCGTACATATCATCCACATCAATTAGACATGCTTAAAACATGAATTTTCATACAATATCACATTCTCACATTTCTAATTCATTGCATTTTACATACTTTCAATTTGCAAATCCAACAACTTAAATACATAAGGCTTAAATTAACATCATTTAAGCATGTATCATTTCAACAACGCGGCTATCACAAAATCACACACTTTCTACAACATAAAAAAAATCATGTATACAATATATAAATTACATCTCAAGAATTTAGCATAATATAAGCATGCTTGTATATCAATTAAAGGAGATTTACTCACAAAGTTCAAAGAAATGGGTATTAGACCCCTACCTCAATTTTATAGAAAACCCTCAAATGGGTTCAAATTTTCGGAATTCTTAGAGTGGCCAAAAGCTTAAATTGCTTACAACAACTTGAAGATCTTATCGAGCTCTTCGATTTGCCGCAAACGACACCCAAAAACTCCAAGGAATGAAAGAGAAATTGAAGCTTGAATTTTGCAAAAGAAAAAAAGAAAAAGAAAAAAGAAAACAGAAAGGGGGAAGAGATAACCAGATCAGGAGAGA